GCAATCACATGGAAGATATGCCAGATAACTGAGACCAAATTATTGAGGACCAGATTGATGAGAGTGTACTATACTAATTTAACAAAAAACAGAAACAAATAAAATATAATTTTTTTACATTTGAGACATTCAACCTATATTTTTGAGTTATGATCTAATAAAATAATCTGTGATATTTAACTAATTTCAAGTTTATATGTTGTTATGTTTGTGTTTTTACTAAAGCAAATTNAAATAAATCTGGTCTTCAATTGTATGGTTATATTAATAAGATTTATATCATGTAAATGTTAATTTTGAATTAATTTTCATTTTTATAATTTCCTTTGCAATAAGTATAAACATTGATGTACACTTGATTCAAATCTTATTCATATAACCATTCAATTGAAGAGACAATCAGTATTACAAATAATTCTAAAACATTGATTACTTTAATATTTATATAATTAAATTACAGAAATTATATTTGTTGAGTGAAGAAAAGAATTTTTAGTGCACCACTCTATAAGAGAACAACACTGAATATGTTTACGATACAAATTGAAATACAGTAGGACAAAATATAAGGATTTAGATGATTTCTTTTTTAATTTAGATTTCAGATTTGTCAAGCAAATAAATATCTAATTAATCAAAGCTTTAAAATTACTTATAATGTTGATTAGGTCTTTGTATAATTATATTAACATTGATGAAAGATGATTAAATATATCACTGGAGTATAACAAGGTGTACTGGTTCTTTCATTTGGTTATATTAACAAGATTTACATCAAATAGGCATTGATTTTTAATTAATCTTTATGAAAATATATGAAAACTTTAAATAAAACATTTTATAAGCATTAAACAACTATTGATTGAACAAAAATTAAAAGTTAATTTTTTATACGCTAAATTAAACCATAATCATAGAGTATATCTGATTTATTTTTTAATAAATGAAGGATTTATATACAAACCACTCTTATATATATTTTTAAAATTACATCAAATAAAAATAATTTCAATTTATTTTTTAAAACCACTGGAAAATTTTCTTTATAACTCAATATTATAAATATAATTTTGAAATTAAACAAGATTTAATCTCATAATTTCCATATTTCAATTCATCAGTTTCGAAATCTTCCCATAACAACTGCTTTAAATAATAATAATAATAAAGAAAAATCCAATATTACATTAAATCTGATTATAATTCATAGCCTGATGCTTAACTATAACGAATTATTATACATTTTCTTATCTTATTTAGCTATAAACAAACAAAATAGATAATATACATTATATTAATTTAATGTAGATAAATTAAATAATACCATACATCTTTAAAATAGATGAATTCATGCTCATAATTCTTATAAACAGTGACATGAACAGTTGTCATGTAATTTTTGCTTTAAGAAATTATTTTAAAATATTATTTACTATTTAAAATTGCCAATTTAGAATAGAAATAAGTTAAACATAATAATTATACTTCATACCTTCACTTAACTAAATTTTCTCTTTATTTAAAAGTTGTTGTTTTATAGTTAGTACAAAAACAAAAAGTTTACATAAAAATCACAGCATAATAAAGTTATAAAGTCAAAATACAAAGTATAATGTATTAATTTTATTAGATACTTACCAGATATACTACAATATAACCGCTTAGAAGAAAGGTCTGTCTGAGTTTAAAGTATTCTATTAGCAAATTAAATATATAACAATTTCAACATTACAACATATGTTTTGTTTGGCAATGACTATGACAAGCTACTTGGAAATGATAAGAAAATAAACAATCATTAATTACAAGAAGAAAGTGTTAATTAACGTCACACTTTCTAAACAAACACTTTACAGGACACACAATAATGACGCAAGCAATAAAATGGCAATAAACTTAATTTTCATGGTAGGGATGGGTTTTATAAAAAAATTGTAAATACTAATAACAAGTAAAATTGTCATTAAGTATCTCCCTAATGAAAATACACATGACCCCTTATATTCCCTATATATCCCTACCTCTCAACCTTAAATCACTGAAATTTAATAGCATCAATTCCCCCTAATAAACGAACTGCCCTGCAAAATATCAGAAACTTTTGATAAAAAGCACAAGAGTTATTGAGCTTCAAAGAGCGTGAACAAAATTGTGCCATTCACACAAACATCCATACATATAGAAAAACCCCTGAATTTTTTGCATTTCTAGACATTTCAAGGTGTCCTGAATCCAAAAATGTAAAAAACTTGGAGTCATTTTTTAACTGATCTCCATACTTTCCTTCTGTTATATATAACAGTTGGGAAAATAAAAATTATTTGGTTTATAATAATAATAATATGGATTACATAGGCTTTTTTTGGACCTATAACTTTGTTAAAAATGAAATTATTTAATGAAATTGTTTCTGTTTTTATATCAAATAGATTCATATGAATAGATCAAATAAATTAATGATATTGTTAAATAGAAACAAATATTTTCACCCTTCTTACACTTAAACATTCAAAATAAAAATATAAATTTTTAAATATATTTACAGTTTAAATTATTCAAATCTCTTTAGCTCTGACTGTTATACATATTTATTTAAGTACTGTACTGTAATATATTATAATTAATAAGAATTATAACTTATTAATATATAATCTATTTAAGACATAGAAAAAATTAATTAATGAAAATCATTTTAAAAATTCTAAAAATATTTTCATACACTATTTCTCAACTACAGTTAATTCTTTTATATAATAGCTTTGTCACCTAACATTTATAGAAGCTGTTCTATAAATGTTAACTGACAAAGCTATACGANCATTGGTAAATTCGTGACAAAATTAAATATTTTTTAATTATCGGAAAATATTTCGTAAATGGACATGTGAACTATAGTATTAAAGGGACCATACCCTTTAAGATAACAGCATGGCATTTTGTCATTATGAATATGCTAATTTTCTAGGAGTATATTTTTTATATTGCGTACACGTTGTTATTTCGTGATAATACATTGCTAATTTCGTGAGAGGATACTTTAGCCTATATATTGGGTTGCAATTTAAAAAATTGTAAACTTCAAAAGTGTATTTTACAAACTGTAAACAAGTCTGATGCTATCTAAGCTCTCAATCGCTTTCCTGTATGTGTTTTTTAACTGCCACAACCCTTAAATTCTTTGTAACAAACCTCGGGCCAAAAATATTTCAGTATTTCCAAAAATACACCCTCTAAAATTCTACAGCAACTAGGGATAAAAATGCAGATTATTGGCAGATAACATCGATATTTAACTTCTTTTACACTGTAATTGGTTAATTTATTTGTATGTTATTAGATCCACCTGTAAAAACAATTGTTGGAAAAATTCCCCGAAATGCCACGCCCCCGCAGGCTACCACTTCGAAGTATGTAAACAAGCGCTATAAAATCGGGTGTTTTAATCGTTTTTTTTCCACTTCTAATTTGCTAACGAAAAGTTGTTTGACAGTATTTAGACGAATAAACATGTTTTCAAAACCAGTTAGCAACAAATATTCCAGAGAAACTCCACCTTTCAAACTTGCAATGCTAAGTCTATGGGAGACCCTTTTGCCGTTAATTGGCTTTGAAAATCCTGGTTTTACGCCTTCTATGCTCTAATTGGTCATTTCTATCATGACTGACTCGATATCAACCAATGAGCGTTCTTTCAGAATTGTAACTCAGATCCACCCCCTTGGTTAGTAGCGCTAATAAAACTTCTTCCATTAGGCGCGCAGGGTACTTATGTTACCCCTGCATTTCGGTGTGGCTTCATGTAAAAATTATTTTCGTACAAATTTGAAACTTTTTCAGTGCGATCTTCAGTACATCGAAGGAAGGTACTGAGGACATCATTTTTCATCATTAAATGTTAAATACAGTGTAAATGTCTGCATAATATAAGTCGCCTTGGCCTGTTATAGTCATTTAAACGAGAGTCTTTAAACTGGAGAAACACTACCTTATGTTTTCGTCGTCACTTTGCGACGATAAACATCACACCGTCGTTGTTCTGTAGACTTTGTGGAAATGGGGAAGTGGAAGAGGAGAGGTGGAGGAGGACTAGGCGCTTATCATCTCTCGAAATGTGCCACTTTCTTAACTCTGAAATTATCCATTCTGCAACGAAATAGAAACGACTGTTGTAAAAATAAAACTTGCGTTAATTCAAAAATATTCCTATTGTCTTAAATTNTAAGTTTAATATAAAAATAAAATAAAAATAAATTTAAAAAGCTGGAAATAATACAAATTAAATTTTTAAATATTAGTATCGAATTAATATATTGTTTAATACAATATATTTTTCGGTAAATGTTTAACGTAAATCAAACATAATTTCAAAATCTAAAATAAAATGCTATATATCAACCTACTTTCTTTTAACACTTTCCGCCCTGTGGCACTAAGAGGGTCTCTATTTGCAAGCCCATTATGGGTTCGAACAAGCCCACAATAAGGCTGTCGGGTGGTGAGGGGCGGGGCCCGACATATCCGAACGGACCACCCCCGAAAGATTCCTAGGTATTTTTCGACGAATTCGGATTCGATCCCGACTCACCAAGAGCGGTGTGCTGCCACCTTGACCGCTCGGCTATCCGGCCGTTTATCAAACCACTATCCGATAATATTAAGTATATATTTTACGAATAAATTTAATTCTTTTCGCCTAACAAGAGCAAAATGAATTAAAATATTTTTCTATTCCCAACATATATTCAGCCAGTTCTACAGTGAATTGGCCGGATGGCCGAGCGGTCAAGGTAGGAGCCTACCGCTCTGGGGAATCCGTGATCGAATCCGGACGGGTCAAGGAATCCCCAGGAATTTTTCGGGGGGTGGTCCGTTCGGATATGTCGGGCCCCGCCCCTCACCACCCGGTCGCCCCATTGTGGGCAATGGCCGAACCTATAATGGACCTGCTATAAGAGGCCCTCTTAGTACCCACAGGGCGGAAAGAGTAAAAAAAAAAAAAAAAATAAGAGTACTACAGTGAAGATTATTAGATGGTCCTACGTTTAGTGAGAACGATATCCGATATCAGTTCAGAGCGGAAGGATGGCGTTTTTATCGATTTGGCAATTAATTACCAAATATACTTGTCCGCATTTGTTGCCTCAACTCGTGGCTAGTTTGCAATTTCCAATCTCGCACTCCATATTTTTTTGCACATTGCAAAACGAAGCGAAACCACGTTTTCCGTTTTCGAATTTCTGCAAAAAAAAAAAAAAACCGTTACTTTCATCGAAGAAAATTGTACAAAGCCGCAAAAGTTAAATTATTTACAGTCGAGCAGCCTGCATCAGCCGCGATTCGAACCCGAATTACTCGTGAATATTCTTCCGTTGAAAGACATGTTGTATCCTTATAAGTTATTATCAATTTCTTTATCGTGAGCCTAGTCAAAAACATTTGTAACTTTAATAGGAATATTAAATCTTTTGAGTCAGAGAAATCTTTTGACTGTTCTCTATGGATTAGTAACACTAGCCGATGCTTTATTAGATGAATAGGAAGTGTCCTGTTGGTAGATGGTCACTACTAGGCCTGTGTTGTTATTTTAGAAATTATTTTATTGTACCGTAAATAGTTCATTCCAGCGCAAATGAGTGCGCTGAAATGAAGCAAAATTTATAATTTCTGTGATATAATTTATTTTATTGTGACGAAAAATAAATGGTGTCGTTTAATTTATACCTTTCAGCCTACCAGTGACCGAGTGGATAAAACCAATGAACACTGGTTGTTGATTTGTGCCTCACCAATGGGCTTTACACGTGGTTTTTCCGGGTTTTCTTCACGTTAGTAACACCTAAATAGGGGCCAGTTTCCCATTAAAAAAACCGCCCGAGAGGCATTCCCTCTTCGTCAGATCATTAATATATTGAAATAAATGAAACAAATTAATAATAAGTATTAAATTTTTAACTAAATAAATTATATAAAGTAATTAAAAGTTCGCTAAGTTTTCGGGGTATTCGAGTATTCGAGAAAAGTGATATTCGCCCATTTCTAATGTACAGTACTTGATAACACTAGAAACAATAAAAATTATAATATATAACTTACTTATCATAATGTTACTTCGAATGGTCTATTCGTTTATTTATTTTTCCGGATTTGGGATCCTAATCTTAATTAACTACTTTCGGTGATATCGAAGTTTTGGTATTCAATAGCAACGAGAGGAATAATCAAGTATAATAAATACTTTATTTTATACTGTTGAAAAACTCAACGAAAAGTAAGGTAACCATTGGTAAATTCGTGACAAAATTAAATATTTTTTAATTATCGGAAAATATTTCGTAAATGGACATGTGAACTATAGTATTAAAGGGACCATACCCTTTAAGATAACAGCATGGCATTTTGTCATTATGAATATGCTAATTTTCTAGGAGTATATTTTTTATATTGCGTACACGTTGTTATTTCGTGATAATACATTGCTAATTTCATGAGAGAGTCCGTTAGCCTCTATATTTAATTGCAATTTGAAAGAATTGTAGACCTATAACTACGCTTCTGCGACGAAAATTTCGAATATTATCTTACATTACTTATTTGATGAAGATAAATTTAAAAATTATCTGGTGACTGCATTTATGGAAAATACAGAGTTCTGACACTAATTATAAATGAATCTAAAAATGTGTAATTTTTAAAAATTTATTTTAATAATATCGAATTTTCAAACAGTTATTAATTAAATTACATATTACGTTTTATTAAATATAAAAATTTTTATAATTAACTCTCGCGAAGTCGGGAGCGCGGGAAGCCAGCGAGAACCAGTTTCAAAAATAAATTTTGTAAAAGTCATAGTTTTTCTCGCGAATTTTTCATGTTAGATGTTTGTGGGAATGTGTTTTTGATGCATTAATTAACAAAACTACTCAAAATATATTGTTTTTATTTATTTATAACGGAAGCAAAACGACTTACGTCTTTAGGAACTTTTCAGGAAAAAATCGTCAACTTCAGAAGTGTGTTTTACGAACTGTAAACAAGTCTGCTGCTATCTAAACTCTGAATCGCTTTCCTGTATGTGTTTTTTAACTGCCACAACCCTTAAATTCTTTGTAACAAACCTCGGGCCAAAAATATTTCAGTATTTCCAAAAATACACCCTCTAAAATTCTACAGCAACTAGGGATAAAAATGCAGATTATTGGCAGATAACATCGATATTTAACTTCTTTTACACTGTAATTGGTTAATTTATTTGTATGTTATTAGATCCACCTGTAAAAACAATTGTTGGAAAAATTCCCCGAAATGCCACGCCCCCGCAGGCTACCACTTCGAAGTATGTAAACAAGCGCTATAAAATCGGGTGTTTTAATCGTTTTTTTTCCACTTCTAATTTGCTAACGAAAAGTTGTTTGACAGTATTTAGACGAATAAACATGTTTTCAAAACCAGTTAGCAACAAATATTCCAGAGAAACTCCACCTTTCAAACTTGCAATGCTAAGTCTATGGGAGACCCTTTTGCCGTTAATTGGCTTTGAAAATCCTGGTTTTACGCCTTCTATGCTCTAATTGGTCATTTCTATCATGACTGACTCGATATCAACCAATGAGCGTTCTTTCAGAATTGTAACTCAGATCCACCCCCTTGGTTAGTAGCGCTAATAAAACTTCCTCCATTAGGCGCGCAGGGTACTTATGTTACCCCTGCATTTCGGTGTGGCTTCATGTAAAAATTATTTTCGTACAAATTTGAAACTTTTTCAGTGCGATCTTCAGTACATCGAAGGAAGGTACTGGGGACATCATTTTTCATCATTAAATGTTAAATACAGTGTAAATGTCTGCATAATATAAGTAGCCTTGGCCTGTTATAGTCGTTTAAACGAGAGTCTTTAAACTGGAAAAACACTACCTTATGTTTTCGTCGTCACTTTGCGACGATAAACATCACACCGTCGTTGTTCTGTAGACTTTGTGGAAATGGAAAAGTGGAAGAGGAGAGGTGGAGGAGGACTAGGCGCTTATCATCTCTCGAAATGTGCCACTTTCTTAACTCTTTGAAATTATCCATTCTGATAAGAAAATAGAAACGACTGTTGGAAAAATAAAACTTGCATTAATTCAAAAATATTCTTATTGTCTTAAATTCATCTAAATTGTAATTAAGAAATATATAAACTTTTAATGTAAAATTCATTTTAAAATGCAATGAAGATTCGTCATAGAAGATTGTAGAAAATTATAATAAAAGTTTCAAAGTCAGAAANCGTCAGTGGTCGTTGTTCGGGGGTTTGAATGTATTAATTTTTAGCTATTTATTAAATAAAAATGATTAAAACAATCAATTTAAATTAAAAAATTCATTAATTTTATACAAATATATCGAAATATATGTTAAATTTTCTCATTATCCTTTTGAACAATTGTTAGCATTAAAGATATACATTTTAAGATTTAACGATCTGTAACATATAATTCCAATTTACTGTAATCTTCGAAGCGGAACTTGATGATATGTTAATCATTAATACAATGTATATATCCTTCAAGCTCCCTTGTTCAGTGTGACAGTGTTTCTCTGTTTTTAAAGATATATTATTTATTTCTAAATGTATTTATTGAATTTTCCTACAATAAGAAATTATAATGAAAATGAAAAGATCGATATTGTGATATAAAATCATTTAAGGTATTCCTAATGAATTTTAATAAAAGTTTCAAAGTCAGAAAACAATATTAAGATAAAATCTTTAATTACTGATATTAAATATAGTAATTTTAATCCTTCCAACGATTTTTAATGTTCGATATATAATTTATAAGATAGGTTTATATAAAATCTGTCAATTGCCACAACACAAAATATTTGTAAAAATAAAGAAATTCTAATTAATTAAAGTTTAGAGTATAGGCGATGTGAATTTCATATGGGATATAATCTGTATATAAACAATAGAGGGTAATAACAATTTAATGTATTTATTAATTCCCATTTTGCTTTAACAATTACAGCAAATCTTTAACAATTCGATTGGATTTGGGTTTAACGAAAATTAACAATAAAAAAAGGTGAAAAGTATCTGCTGAAATAAGTGGAAAGACTTCATTCGTCGTCTATGTGACGAAACCGATCAATTGTTATCTAAATGGAGCTTTATCGGAAAATCATTGCCATTAATTCGGCTTAACAATGTTGAAAAATACCTAAATTTAGAAAGTTCGTAGTCTGAACTTACCAATAAAATGGCTGCAAATGATGCAAAACTCAGAAAAACGTTTGAAATAAATCACTTAATCGCGCTCACTGAAATTTCGACCGCTGGCAACAAATTGCCAGAGTTTTATTGTTGCGTCGCCACGAAATTTAACGTAAAAAGTTTGGATTTTTCAGCGAATTTCGTGATTTTTCCACCTCTCTGTCGCTGAAGAAACGGATTATCGCGGAACGTTCCTTGGATATATGTTGATGTTAGCAGTAATATGTATTCAAAAATGTAATATTCTCGTGTCTGTATAAAGGCGAGTAAAAATTTCGATTTTATGATGATCCTTCGAACCGAAAAAAGCAATTTTATCTTTTTTTTTTTCACGTGTAGTATAGAAATTTGTAATAAGATACATGATGCGGTTATAATAAAATATTGTGCGATTATTTTCATATAATTAAAATTAATATGTATTTATTTTTTTGAAAATACAAGGAAAGCGGCGCATCCATCGCTTCCAATGACGGTACGCTACTGGTGTAGCGTTGTTGCTTTTCAGTGTATTCAGTTGTCTCTGTTCCATTGTAACACAAGAGTGAACTGTGGTAGTACACCATTATTGTTTTTGCAAATTTGTATATATATTTTTATATTTTTTTGGGGGTCGCAAAAAAAATCACAATCATAAATGGGGTCGTGAATAAAAAAAGTTTAAGAAGCCCTGTTCTAGAGTATTCTATTATTAAACCACCGATGCCTGTATCTCAATCTGACTATTATTTCTATTTAAGTCGAATTCTTTGTAGAGATGACGGCACGAAGAACAGCGGTAGTTCAACGGGATCTAGTTTTTAAGGATCTAGGGTCTGACCTGAACTTCAGTCAGGATCCTTCACAGTAGTAGAATATTTTTAGTTTGTCAGCCTTCGGGCAATTATTATTTTAATTAAATAATTTAAGAAAATAATAAAAATTATAACCAAAAAAAAGATGCTTTAACTGTATTAATTTACATATATTTTTTTTCTGTAAATTTACATTTAGGAATTTCTAAACTATAGAATACTTTTTCCCGGAGNGCTTCTATTATACTATTTTAGATGCGGGTTTTTGCGTTTTTGATTGCGTTTTAATAGGGTACGTCAAGAGAATGTACACTAAGAAGAAATTTTTCGAAAAATTTCCCCCCACGGGGGAAGTGTTATAAATTTATAATAGATACATTTTGAGCCACAACAACGCGTGGAGGGGTCTGCTAGTTCTTATAATTCATATAGAAAATTATGAAATGGAACTCGAAGGTTATATATCTTTCAATAAAAAGAAAACATTCGACCTCACAGCGATTCGATTTAGCGTTCTTATAGTGATTGCAGTGCCCCTGGTGATAACATTTGTCTTTAGTTGATTTTAGCAACGAGCGAAGATAGGAACTCGAAAGACCAATTAACCTACCGACTTTGCTTATACAGACCTTGATTGTAACTTCTTTAATAAGGCTCAGAAATCATAACCGAAGGGTGACCCACACAGATCTTAATTCGTTTCTGCCAAGTAGTATAAGAAAATGTAATTTTGCTTTGATTTAAATTTTAAAAAATAATGCATTTTGTTATAAAAATTACAGCAGATTTGAAGACTAATAAGAGAGGTTGCGGCCGAGTTTTCATCTCTCAAACGTGAACGTCGAACGTCGAGCGCTGCTTACAAGATAGCGGCGCTTGACGTTCGACGTTCACGTTTGAGAGATGAAAACTCGGCCGCAACCTCTCTTATTAGTCTTCAAATCTGCTGTAATTTTTATAACAAAATGCATTATTTTTTAAAATTTAAATCAAAGCAAAATTACATTTTCTTATACTACTTGGCAGAAACGAATTAAGATCTGTGTGGGTCACCCTTCGGTTATGATTTCTGAGCCTTATTAAAGAAGTTACAATCAAGGTCTGTATAAGCAAAGTCGGTAGGTTAATTGGTCTTTCGAGTTCCTATCTTCGCTCGTTGCTAAAATCAACTAAAGACAAATGTTATCACCAGGGGCACTGCAATCACTATAAGAACGCTAAATCGAATCGCTGTGAGGTCGAATGTTTTCTTTTTATTGAAAGATATATAACCTTCGAGTTCCATTTCATAATTTTCTATATGAATTATAAGAACTAGCAGACCCCTCCACGCGTTGTTGTGGCTCAAAATGTATCTATTATAAATTTATAACACTTCCCCGGGGGGGGGAATTTTTCGAAAAATTTCTTCTTAGTGTACATTCTGTTGACGTACCCTATTAAAACGCAATCAAAAACGCAAAAAACCGCATCTAAAATAGTATAAATAGAAGCAGAGTTCTTTACGGTAAGCCTTAATCCTAACCATCTCCCTTCAGTGGGGGGAATTTCGACACGTATATTATATAAAAACACGTGCGTATTCGAATGCAGCGTTGTGTCAAAATTTCAAAGGAATCGGTAGGAACAAACGAACATTACATTTTTATTTATATAAATAGATAGAAGATGATCTGCTTTAGTTCATTTTCACAGAAAAGCATAATGCCTCACAGAAAAGCAAACTTAGGGCGTTGTACTCGTAGCGCCATCTGTTGGACATAAAAGCCTTAACCTAGATTATATCTTTTAATTTAATTTATATGAATGTTTAACGGAATAATATACAGTCCATGTCCACCGTGAAGTTCCATTCTAAATATTGGTGAAAGAATTTTTGAAATCGGATGAGTAGTTTCGGAGATTACCTGCTGCAAAGAAACTTGCATACTTACAAACATTACCTCTTTATAATATTAGTATAGATGAAAAAGCTTTTATTTAAACCCAAAACCAGGTTTATGGATAAATAAATGACACTTAATAAAACATTAAACATAATTGTACTATTATGTCAGTTTTGTTCCTTGTCATTAAATTGTACTATTTGTATATGTCAATTTATTATACGTTAAAAATTTATTATACATACAAACAAATTATACATACAAACAAATTATATTATACATAATAATTATTATTATTATTATGTATAATATAATAGTTGTATGTATAATACATTTTTAAATAATGCAGAGTAAACTTAAATGTTTCTGGTGCACAATAATCATAATCTAATAATTCATTATCACTAGTATCTCCATAGGACAGGCTTGGATTACAAAGCAAATTTTGTAAATGTTCTTCCAGTTGTTCTTGAACTTCCTTAAATAGTTTTTTATGACTCTGAAGAAGATTTTTTAAAGTAATAAGGGAAGATCCAGGATCAGTTTGAACTGATGCTCGTTTGGTAGGACGAACCAAACTGAACACAGTCATCAGTCTGTACAGGTATAATAACTGCACTGTTGTGGAATGAAAATTGCTTCCACTTCCTTGTCATTCCAAAGAAAAACTAATTGAAAAGAAAACATAAGTTAAGAGTTTAATAAAAGATTATATAATCATTACACTAAGTCAATTTTGATTGATATAAAAAATATCAGACAATTAATCTTATAAGTATTTATAAGGAAAGGTGGGCCACAGAGAGATCAGTGAATCATAAACCAAGCCACAGAGAGATAGCCCTCAGTGGGTCTCACAAACCCAGCTCAATCTTTAGTTAACATTTTTTAAAATATAAAAATACTGAAAAAATTTATTTTCTTCCAACTCTTCAGTCCGATCAACATGCGGTTAGAACGTTTTTTTTTTTATTTGACTTTACTTGGACTAGATGCCATATCAAAAGCTTTCGGTCGAAAAATTTACCGGGGAAACTCATTACTTCTAGGTATTGTGTAATAGCGGAAAATAATTAAATCAAAAGTATTTTAGTTTTGCGGGAAATTTTACCACGAAATGTTTCTATTAAAACACTTATTCGTTTAAATAACTTCAATAAATATGTAAATTAGAGCTAAATTGGAGCTGAAAAACGACGAAAATAGCGATTATCTAACATTTTTTTACAGTTTTATTTTGATTTACGTAGAGGGAACAATAGAGTTAATTTTCCACCAGACAATTCTGAGAAAATGCTTACTCGTTCAAACAGAATCAAACAACTAGAAGTTAGCTAATTAGACCCTAAACGTTATGGAATAATATAAATAAAAGAATAATAGCTACGCGACAATCGTGTTAAAAATTATATAAAAATAAACATTAAAAACGCAATTTTGTCATCAATACAGCAAGAAAGAAAGAAAACAAAGCGCAGAATTTAACGGTGAAATTGTAGTTTTTTTACGCGATAGATAAGATTTAATAATTTTATATTAAAACACAGGGTCCGAAAGACCCACTGCGACTCAGGCAAGGGCAAAAAGTTACATGACTTACTGAGGATTAAAATTACAAAAAAAAACATATAAATATTTACCTTTGGTATTGTCTTTTCGGGATCGCTTCCTAGATGGTTCTTCATTTTTTGTGAGACATCGCGTTGATCGTTTTTGAGGTACAGACTTACTAATGTACTTAGGACAGTTAGGGAAGTTTGATGGATATGCATCCGACGTTAATGCCCAGCGATCTCGTGGAATTTCTACTTTCTCTCCATTTATAACACGGGAGTAGGCTTATAAAATAAATCCATTCGCAAAATGTACGTAACATTTACTTGTTAGCATCTTGTCGTCTCGTGAAATGCATCGCATCCACTCCTCAATCTTATCGCTAGGAACACGGAAAAAAATGTCTCTTCTCGTTCGATGACTTATATCCTGCCTTGCATCCTGGCATAAAGAACGTTAGCATTTTTATGTAGCTAAAAAAAAAAAAACAATTATTATAGGTCGAAATCACTGACTTCAGTATATACATAGCAAGAACAACACTCTTCTGCCAACAGAGGCGCCAACTAGCGGCAAATATTGTCTCCAGCTAAGTTTGAACTATTAGTCGAAAGACCAGTTAATCTACCGACTCTGCTGCAGATAAGCAAAGAAAAGCAAAATCTTCGGTAGCGTGAGCGATAGAGAGCCTTGACCGAAGCGGAACATGGAGAATGGGCAGTAATACTGGTTCAAGTTAAATACTGTTTCGATCAGTAGAAGTTAATGCATTTATTTGTTACAGGCAGCAATTGCTGTGCATAACTTAACTTGCAAACACGACGTCCAAAAGCAAGATGGTGACCGGAACTGCCGCCGTTAGGTTTCCACATTTGGATGCGAATATCTGGAAAAGGGTCGCATGTCGGACTTTTCTTTATTCTTTACCGATAAATATCATTAGCTTGTTTGATCACCGTGCTGTACCGACTGTCAAGCACGCGATAGGTTTAGCGGAGCACGCAGCGTG